TTTCAGACGATAAAATGAAATAAATCCCCGGTGTTGCCATTTTTTTATAAATGGTAAAAATATTCGATAAGAATTTGTAGATGTCTACTATACATATGTTTATCTCCCGGATACTTTTGATCACAGCAATATATATAGACCTTTTAATCTTTGAACATGTCAACACAACTGCATTAATTATAGGATAATGGAAAAATTTAAGAAAACAAATACTAACTTCGATTCTATCGTTAGTAGTAGCATCCCCCCCCCCTCAGCCTTAAAATAGTTTTGCAGCTACTGAAAAGTAGCCCCTTCCTTCCATCCTATTGATTTACAGGATGATGCGCTACCAGGCTGACAAACTTGCAAGATGTGTTTGATGTACAGAGCCGACTCGGAATCATATAGAAACGCAGGGTCGCAATGCTGTAATTTCGAGCTATGGTGCAAAGAAGCAGAGAAAAAGAACAGAAACAACACCACATAAATGGGACAGAAAATAACTTATTGAAAGATTGTAATTCAACAATCGCAATTACGACCAAAAATCGTCTTGCATTCCTGACAGCGGTGCTGCGTGGAATTTCGTTTGTTTATGGATTTTCCTGGCATGTGCTACGTTTCCTCTCGGCAGCTTCAGATATTCGAGCGATGGCGTCTTCAACTGAAGAAACGGCCACCTATAACACCGAACTCTTTATGTGAACCCAGAAGTAGAAGTCCATTTACTTTCGAACACCTATTGTAGTACAACCTTTCAATACAATGTTTTCTGACCCATAAATGTGTTACTGTTCATTTCCTCAGCTTCTTTGCGCCATATCTCGCAACTGCGGCATTTGCGACCCTGGATTCCTATGTGATTCCGAGTTGTTTCTGTACTCCCTACACACTCTGCAAGTTTGTCAATCTGGTAGCGAATCCCCCTGCATATTCCTGCTTCCTCAGTCATTTATACTATATTCATCAAACTTTTGCACGACTTGTTTTTGTGACTTCTTCTTTCCAAACACTACAGCCTATTACCGGCCAAGGCTGTCTCGGTCAGCTTAGACCATCTTGATCTGTTTGATGCTATGTTCTTCCATCAGTTTGTGATAGCAGTTGGTTCCTGCTTACATCTGAACCCTCTTGTCTACCTGTAATCCCGTCTAGATGTGTGGGAGAAACAGAGTAATCCACGGACATGTATTCAATCTAATCAATTTATTAATTCTAATTATCAATCAGACACAATACAGTTCTAATCAAGGTGGATGAAACATAGTAGAGCGTGGAGGTGAGATTCTGTAATACGGGGATACTACTACAGACCCTCAACTGAATCTAAGATAGCTTAAATACTCTCAAATATAACTACTCACCGTACCTTAACTTTTTATGCATAGGCTCCTACACTGGAAACTTGCAGGTGATCTCTTCGGCTTGATCAATGTCGTTGGTTCCACGCTTTGTAATCTTTAACTAACAACTAGTTCGCAGACTTTATGTTAACTCCTACTTGCCAACACCAACGTGTCAACTCACGAACTCGCAAAAATAGAATTTATGTAATATACCTCATTTACATAATCACGTTTGCTTACTCGATGAAAGTTGGCTGAAATAAATATTTTCCTTTAAGAGATATGAAAGGATTAGTAGAACCGCGTATAGATCCGTCACAAGTTAACTCCCACTTCCGTAAACCACTTTTTTACCTTATCTATGCACCTTGTTCTTGGTTTTCCTCTTTTCACTCTGGAGATATTTTCTTAACTGGATTATCGAAATGCATGTCTCAGCCTTATTCGAGAAGCCTTGGTCACTTTAACTATTGGGTTGATGCATAATTATCCGGCGTTTTTTCAACACATTTTATTTAACAAAATCAGTAAAAAAATTTGACAAAAAAATGTTTCAACGCTTATTCGGGAGCGTAGTCACCGTCTACTTCAATAACTGCTTCCCATTTGCTTGGCAGACGGTCAATTCCACAAGCGAAGAAGACACGATTCTTAGAGGCAATCCACGTTTGACATTGGCCACCAAGTCATCCGATCGTCGATCCCGAGCCTGATCGTCGAAATCCGATGGCCGACCTCTTCCTGGCTTATCCTTCAAGCTGGTATCACCTGATTTGAAATGGGTAAACCCCTCCTTACGCTGACTTTCGCTGATTGTTCCTTTGCCAAAAAGTTCGTTGAGATCGCAAAATGACTGTGCTGCTTTCTATCCTTTCTCGAAGTGGTAGAGCATAATATGGAGAATATGACTATGATTTTAGACACACATTTTTCTAAAACAATAGAAAAGATTATTTTTATACAAAAATAATAAACAAAACGCTACTTTTCACTGATGAAAAACGCGCTGATATAAACGCCGGATAATTATGCATCAACCCAATATGTTAGGTTCTCTGTATTTCGAATTGAAGTTCAAGGTTGTATCGTATTCTCCAGATTCCGTTTTGACTTCTAATCATGCTTATTTCAAAACAGAAAGCATTTATTTTAGGTGGTGTTCATTTTCTTATAATTTTAACACTGATAAAAAAATTACCACTTTTATATAACTCTCCTTTATTGACTGTTTTGACCCGTCTTATAGATAAGATGCAAGACAATTCAATAAAATATGCAATTAAGAGCCTCTCCTAGATCTCCTTTCATTATCGTAATGTCAAAGGCACTTCCGTGTAAACCATTCCAGTCTTCTGCAGTAACTGCCCTCCGATAACAGAAGACTCCCACGAAGAGCACTGGGAGGGTATATTCTGCAAAATACTTGTTCCGACTGAGAGAAGAGCTGGAGGTTTCATCATTATCTAATTACGTGAACGCTCATCTTAAGTAGAGGGACCCGTTAAATACGGTTACAGCTGATAAAGGAATATTTTCCTACTGGCGCTTTTGAAGTGAAGTGAGATTGGCACGCTTTTAGGGTTTTATCTAATCTCAGGAAGATGATGGTTCCCGAGTGTGTGTGTTGTATTTTCTCCATGTCTGGTTTGAAAGATTTCGAAAGATTTCCTCAGCTGGCGTAATATAATCGGTATACACTTGAATGAAGATAAATTTAATTTTGAAATTTTATCAAAAAGGTTTGAATGGTTTCTGAATTTCAAAACATTTGTGTATTCAGATTGTGAAAAGGGAATGTTTGTTTTCCTAAATAAAGGTTAAAATCAAGATTGAGAATCTATACCATATGGGGTATTTGAATCTTGGTCTGTTAATAAATTATTCTATTTGAAAAGTATTGATATTTTTTTGCAAAATTAATCAAACTTTCAAAATTTTATGTAGTTCTGTTAACATTGCCAATGAGATAGTTTAAAGACAAACTATACGTGATAATGTGTAAAATTGGCTGAACATGGATTCAAATCTCGATTTCACTAAAAGTTGACATACAAAGTTATGGAATTGCGGCAAATTAATCACCCAGGCTGGTGCGGCACCTTTTCCTCATGTTGATGGAGATCTCGCTCATCACTGAGATTCTATGGAGATTCGAATGCATCATGGGTGGAGAAGCCATTGAATCAAACACGAAAGGATCACCACAAGATTTGCTAAAATTTACTTTTATTAAGTCAAATAAACTCTCTATATATAAATGTTGACATTTTATTGTCTAACGTTTGACTAAATAATTTACTTATAATTAGTATTATACATCCAATTCCAGAATAAAAATGAGATAGTTGGAATTAAACTATTGTTAACGTTTACTGTAGTATTGTATCGTATTACAAATGTACTCAGCATTCTATATACCTCAATAGCCATTTCCAAACTAAAAACAGTGTCATAGTGAACTTACTGAGGTTGCACTTACTTCTGGTTTTCCAGAATCCGTTAAAAGAAAAGAAAACTACTGTGAGTCAAGTTTGAAAACGGTACTTTTAGTTACAGATTGTGTTCCTACCAATTGCTCTGTTAGGCTATAATTTCCGCCCCTGTTTGTATGACATTCGAAATGGAAAACGCGGAATAGTAGGGAACGCCCTTTCCTTAATGGCCCCACTATTTTTCCATTACACTTCTTTTTTCCTTTGTTCGATGACGTCAGTTAACAGAAAGATTATGTGTCATTTGGATGCTGACACCTGTAGGTTCATCCACTCGGCGCGCCTCTGCAACTGTTTGGTTTTCGTGCCTTACGACCTGACACTGCCTCCTCCTAAGAGGTGATACTGTCGGTAGCACAAAGAGCCTTGAACCTAAACCCATAACTGTTGACAACGGTATTTGGAAGCATATATCTGTGTTGTTTAGCTTATTCCGAGAAAAAATGAATTAGTATCAACATTCTATAATTTCACCACAAGCAATTTTAACGTGTGATATATATATATAATGAAATATTAGTTGACAAGATATATAGAGAGAGAGAATCAAAGTAAAGAAGTCAAATGAATGTAAACAAGAAATATAAAGTTTTTAAACTCAATTCCTATTTAGGTCAACAGAGAAAAATGTTATTTTAGTTACTTTTTATTAAATAATTACAATTGTAACTGTCGCTTAGGTCATTACTTGGGGTGACCAAAAGTAATTAATAGAATCTCGGGGTAAATTAATATATTTAATGACATAAGATAGCACAGTTACAAAGAACAGACACTTAGAGAATTACAAGACAAACATTTAGAGAAAATAAGTGAAAATAAGTAAAGTTTACATAGTCCAGGATTGGACATGAAATGGGGAACGCACGCTTGTCCAGATCCAAACTCTCTCTACAGTGTTTCGTACAGTCACACTTCCGGTCTAAGCCCATATTGTAATGGCGGCACCTACATTTCGGTCTTGGAACTATACCGTGCGTTACACAATTAATATAATCATATGTATAGATACGACAGAATCACAATATTAAATGGCAAAATAGATACGATTTTCTTTGTAATTTTCCTTTCTCTATGGTGTTGGCTTTTTTTTTTGTTTGTTGCTCTATTTATTCAAAAAAATTTAATTATTCCTATAAAATAGTACAGGAAAAGGAAATCACATTCTCAGAAATTAGGTCATCCCAGGTACGATTCGAACCCACGACTTCTGGATTAGAAGTCCAACGCGCTACTCATTGCGCTACAGGGACATAACGAGCGATATTCATTTTTATATATGGTGTTGGACTATTATTTTTGTTTGTTACTAATTATACATTAATTAATTATTTGAAAAACTGTATTAACTGCAACTGTCATCCACTACAAGTTTTAAAAAATGTATTTCAACTTTAGTGGATGAATTAAAAAGTATTTTATTTACGATTGAAAATTTGAACAAGATATAGGGGGGAGAGTGTGACCTATATATACATAGTAGGAATTGAAAAAGAAATAATAATAGTTTACCGAGTCAAAAAAACGATCGCAGGATGAGGACCGAAGTGTGCTGATAAACCATTTTGATGCTACTAACCTTGCCCCTTTAATATAAAAATATATATAATATACAATAAAAAATATATTAAAATATACAATAAAAAATAAAATTTTAAAATGAATAAAAGAAATGAAGTGAAAAAAGAAATATGGAAAGCTTTGAAATATAATGATAATGAAAAAAAAAAAAGATGATTCTCACGGAAGGACTAAAGGTAATGAAATTTATAACGTGAATGCAGTTATGTAGCTGGCTGTATGCACCTGTATGCGTAAAATGAGCTCTTTGATACCTTAGTTATCCTGTTTCCTGACAACTTAATTTTTCTCTTTCGAAAATCTGTTAACCCCTGAACTAATGAACCTTTGAAACGCGGATCTTAAATCCAAAGCGGCAATTCACGACAAAACAGAAAGTAATGCATTATTTTAACTATTGAGACTTCTATAATTCATTCAAAGTTGTATATTGATTAATACTGCTGCTATTTTTAGTTATAGCCTGTACTTTTATTGTCATTTTGGTATAATTAAAAGGGTTAATTTGTTTTTAAGTTGTAAGTGATCATAAAAATTTTTGATTAATATGCATCATAGTAGTATGTTTTTGGACAAGTATGGAAGTTTTTCGCGCGATTACTTGTTTGGTTATATTTTTTGGTTACCCTCTCCACATCGGGTTTTCAGCATAATCACCACTGACTATCACTTCTCAATCACTTTTGAAGATCTGAGTATTGAGTATAGTTATAATATTTTCTTATTTAATCGTGATATTACCAAGACAGATGATCTTATTTTGATTTATTTCGCACTGTGTGAATCCACACTCGGGCTATTGGAGACAGAACCTGTATTTTTGAACATAATCAAGTAATGAGAACGAGACCTGAGCTGACGTCCCCTCTCCAAACATCCACACTACGCCAATATGTTTAACGGACATCATCCCCCCCCCCTGCACCGAGGGAATTAAACACTACTATCACTTCAGAACAGTATCAGTCGACATAGTTTTCAAATTGCTGAAATTTGTAATTTACATATCCATGTCACAATTCCATTAAATTCAGCATTTTCAGCGTCAAAAAAATTATCTTGTAACTTTTATTATTTTTTTTATTCAACTTATACCTTTTCTCATGACTCTTCCTTCTCTTTCTCCCCTATTTCCCCCTTTCTAATTCTTCGTACCGCATTTCATGACTGTCTGGCTGAGCCTGTTTTAAATTTGTGCTCTTTTCCTAATTATTTCTCTACCTAGCTGAACTGCTCTTTTATTATTTGGACCCGGAGGGCGATGCTCCGTTCACTCGCTTTAAAACGAAAACACAAAAATCAACCTAACCGTGAAACGAAACACTGCACCTCAGACCCACACGCAATTGGGTCTGTTAATTAAGCCCCCAAAATGCTTTCACTCCCTGTGTCTATTGCTTTGTATTTAATTTAACAACTAGAAAGTTCCGCGAAGGGGCGTCTCTATACTGCCTCAGCCCCAGCGTGGAACTGACGTGTCATTTTCTTCCCCTCCTTCAAGCTGTCCTCAGGCGCCGACTAGTGTACAACCCCATATCGTGTCATTTAACACCCCCCTACAAAAAGCCCCCTTATTTTTTTCCTTACTTGCAGGATGAAGTTGACAGGCATCACTTGGCCAAATGAAACATCCCTCACTTACTTTTCCATTCTCTCTCCCTCCCCCTATCAGACGAATTTAGATGTTCTTCGTCCAGACCCCTTAATATTCTCGCCCACCCTCTTCCGTTGGTGATTGATCAAGAGAAAACGGCCGTTTTCCTTTATCTTCTCGGTTTTTCTCTTGCTTTTGTGCGCAGATAAGGGAGATGGGGATCAGTCTTGGAGATAATCCTTTTGTTTTCTGATGGAGATATCGCATCCGTTTTATATATGATCCGATTTTCATGTATGTATGGGGGAGTCGTGAGAGTATATTATTCTTTATGGTACGAGATAAGAGAATAAATATACATTATTTGATGGGAAAATAGAAATATATATCCACTTTGTGTTGTTCTAGATGTCCTCTTAACAAAAAATTGCCTAACTTAACGACGATTTTCGTGACGAGAGCTTGAATATTTGTTAGTATTATTTATGTGGCATAATTACTTAAAATATACTTTTACTTGAATATTTAATTAATTTCCTAATAGTTACGCTGTTGCTATATTTATATAGTTCCCATACATTTCTGTCTCCTTTCTAATTATATATATTTTTAAAAAATCACTTACTGTGAATTGCTGAATAAGTAATATTTTGATGATTCATCATTTACTTCTGCATGAAAAAAACACATTCATCATTTTGGAAATGTTTTATTTTTATCTATCCATGATTGCTTTGTATACTTCTAATAATTTTTTCCATTTCGATGTGTTAATTCCATTTTTCAAAATTTTTTATCCATTAGTTAAAAGTAAAATATTTTCCTAACGCCTTTACAACATAAGCTTCTTGATTTTCATTCTCTTTCGTATACAGAAGATCTCTTTTTAGATCAATTTTTTCTTCTACTTTTATTTAGTTCTAAATTATATTTGTTATATCTCTTGATACATACTTTTTGCTATTAAATGATCCACGCAATAAAAATTTAAACTTAAATGTATTGTTTTTAGATTGTGTCAATCTATGAGAGTAACGAAAACTTGTTACCCCTTTAACATACTAATTATAAGATGATTATCTTAGTTAAAAAAAAAAAGATTCATTATTAGTGTTGCCTTTATTCGATTGTTTCACCCTCTGCCCAAAATTTGTACGAACATGTGAAATAGAATGAAAAAAAACTTTCTGATTTATAATAAAAATCAGTTTTTGCTTCTTCTTGTATTTCCAAGTAATAAGAGGTAAAATGTTCCTTTGGTATGGGAGTAGATTTACCTAATTAATAAATATAATTCATCCTTTGCCTTTTATATAATTGTTTCTACTTCTGGTGTTGTAGGTGTGACAAAAAAATACATGTGATGTTTATCAATAAGTTTTAAGCCACATGCTTATTTACTTTCTGATATTCTGAATAATTGATTATATACGTGACAGAGGCGTAGCTGGGGCTTTCAGCGCCCGGAGACGAACCCCCTTTTTGCACCCCCTCTTAAAAAGATGTGAGCTATAGAGAGACCATCATATGAAAAAGTTTTGAGTTTCTGAGCATGAAACCCTGTATTTAGTGACAAATTATAGGCAAAGATTGAAAAATTAAAATAGTTAAAGTCACGACGGGATATTAAGTTATAATCGAGTAACAGAGAGGCAAGGATGAAATGGCACAAGATTGCATATAAAATTAATATACTGTTATTATTTGAATTTCATTCGTTATTGTTTAACATCAATTTGGCATCCCCAAATGTTGCACCTAGGAACAGATGGCACCTTCCCCAGAAACGCTTCGATATATGTGTAAAGGATACAACATTCAAATACATAGGAATTTGTAATTAAAATTAGTCATTGTATTCTAATTCATTTTGTATTAAACATTTAACAGCAGTGTCTATCGAGCATCATCTGAACATCTCGTTTTGTAACTGAAGTGAATAATCTCGATAACAAGCTTACACCATAAACCCAAACTCCATTCCTCGCCCTCTTTTGTCTTGTCGGGGCCACGTGCCAGCTTCTGCTTATCCCTCGGTGGCTGTTACCACCACATCAGCTGAAGCTGGATAAATGCCATTAGATCCCTCGCGATTGACCAATCTCTTTCCTCTAAATAAATCGATCAGTTCTTCCTCTAGATGTATATTAGATTGCCAACTTAGACTCGTTCCCCCCTCTTTCGGTTCTTCCCTAATCAGATGGGAGGACACCAGATGGTGTGCAGAGCAGTGGTGCAAATCGTCTGTCATCTTCAAGCCACGTGGGAGGGTCGAAGAAGGACCTTTTTCGAAAAATTTTCGGTTGTTCCATACGCACCCGTTCTTTTTGTCAGCTGTTCAAGACGGGTTCGTCCATCCAGTCTTTTTAGCTCTGACTCAGGCATTGTAAGGACTGTCATATCGGCTTTTGTTCCGTTGTTGTGGTGAAAAATGACACGCCAAATTGGATGCTTTTTGGAGTATTGAAAGAAAGAAAAAAGTTTTTAGTTCGTAAAGAATGGAATATGATTGTCTCTTTTTACGTGATCTGGAGAGAGAGAGAGAGAGAGAGATTTCACGTCTACTTCTCTTGACAGAATTTAGTTACTTAAGTTTATTTACCGGAAATGAGTGGAATTAAAACCACAAATAACCTAGAATCCTACCTTAAGTAGCTATTTCATCCTTTCGACTCAACACTCCATCTCCTTTCTGAGTTTTTTTCAAAAAACAAACGTGGTGTTGTGTCAAATTTTGTAGAAAGATATGTTGTAGACATTGAAAACGCTTCAAAAGTATTAACAATAGTTTTTATTTCAATTGTACTGTAAATCTTTTTGTTGTTGTTGTTGAACATTAAAATTAATTGAATTCACCGACTTTTTTTGATCAAATTTGCAAAAAATCGTTAGATTTACTGCGTGTGTGCGCGCGCTTACATAAGGAGGAAAGTTGTAAAATTATTAACTATGTTATTCCTCCCAAACTTAACTATTACCATAATAATAAAAGTGTTTTTAGATCCATGAATGTGTGTAATAAATAAAAAATATTTCTTTAATCAACCGTAGTTGAAGTAATAGGCGTTTTTAAAATAA